GTGTTCAAGTCAGGAGACATACTTATCTAGGTCACAGTTTCTACTTTTCTCCTCTTTAGAAACTCTCGTGTGATTTAGTCAGTTTGCTTTGGATTGCTCCGACGCTGGAATGTTTCTTCTCTGGCAAGCTTCTGCAGACTGGGAGTCATCTCATCAGCCAGTACTTTGGTACATCCACAGGCATTCATGGTGCCATCTACACCTTTTGCATTCACCAAGTTCACACCAAACATGCAGGACCATCATCTGAAACTGATCTCGGTCCCCATCTGACCAAAGAATGTGCTCCCAATAGGCATCAGCATCACTTTAATGTTCTTGAGCAAAGTGTAATCCTGCAGTTTTGTGCTGAAGAACAAGCCGATTGTCATTGAAGTTCGATGCACCGTCCTGTCTGTTTCTCAGAGCTACTCTGTGCGACCGTCTTTTAGGAGGACGCCACTGCAGCTCTGATTAGTGGTACTACGGCTTGTTCTATACCTCCTGATTACTGCTGCAACATGATCTGAGTGATACTGAGTTGGTCACCAATCGTTCTGAATCCCTTTGCATCTCGTGACGACACAGAATTTGATTGTTCAGTTCCTGGAAATCCTTCTGGCAATTCATCTCCATGTGGATCCAGGATGCAGATATGCAGATAGACAAATACAAACCCAGAAAGGTCTGGTGGTCATAACTCATTCTATAATCAAGCTCAACATTGATCCCTCCTGTTTTCTTTGGGGTCAATCTGACCTCATTCAATGTTTCACATCTCTAAATAAGTCATTGACATTCTTTTTTCAGTTTTATTTAAAGGGCTATTTACACATAAACTTGGGTAACAATTTTAATTATGATATTTTCTGGAGGTTTAAATTGCTGCAGTCAAACTGAACCCAAGGAGAAAAAAATTCAGTAAATTTGAAGGTAATAGGAGGGTTAAGTGATATTGCATTGTGTGTTAAGCATGAAGCTAAAGCTAGGATGTGATTAGCTTAGTTTAGCTTAAAGCCTGACTCTATCCCAAATCTGCATATCAGCACCTTTAACTCTTCAGAAATGCTTTAGGAAATTATTTTCATATTTTTTTGCTTAGTTGTTTTCGTGCCAAGAGTCCTGTAGTTTGTCCTGGAGTCTTACTGCTGAGTGTCAGGAGAAAGTCTTACAAAAAACTCTTTAAAACTATAAATTTTACTTTTTGCAAATTAGTCTGTGCATGGATGAAAACAAACAAGACCTGAAAATGTGTTAACAGCGGATCTTTAGAGGCGCTGTCAGGTGTATTTTCTAAGAGATAATTATATTCTGGCTTCATATTGTGCACAAACACACAAGAGTGGTATCAATCTTCTCATCCAACTTTCAGCTATAAAGTGCATTTTCCAAAATGCAAAACTATTCTTTCCATGAACTGAAAAAAGTACGTCTCTCTCAACTTATTTCTAGTTCTTGAGTAAATCAACTGAATCAAAAACAGCAGGAAAGAAAGAAGAACCGAACGCTGAGCTGGCCAACAACTACTGCAGCCATTTCACTGCCAAAACATGACTCAATATTAACCATGAAAATCAATTTATCATTTTGCAAGTTGTTTATCAAGTAAAAGCACCAAACATGCACGAGTTCTGGCTTCTCATGTTTGACTTTTTACATCTTGCATGACAGTAAGTCAGTTTCTTTGGGTTTGGGGCCTCGTGTAGGACAAAAACAAGCAGCTTTCCTTTATTTTAGAGACTAAATAATGAGGAAACTAATGGATAGGCTAATTGGAACAAGTGGTAGCTGCTACCCTCCAAAACAACAGTTTCCCCACGGAGATGGATGAAGTTATCTCGGCGACTTAAAGAGCTCTTATTAGGCTTCCCTTTGCTCTCAAGTGGAAACCGCTGCAATCAGTCAAAGCTCAGCTGCAGCGAGACAAAAGGACTCTGGAGAGAAAGTGAACATGTGCTGCCTCGTCCCGCCGAGCGACCGCCGCTGTGTGTTCGCTTTGAAATCCGCTGCCCCACCCTGCTCAAACAGCCCGGTCTGGACCGAGCCGAGGCTTGTGAATCTCTGCACACTTCTCAGGCTTCCAACTGTACATTTCCCCCCTCAACAAACCAACCAACCAACCAAACCCGCCCCCCCCCTCCCTTAAAAGACACCTCCTCCTGACCTCCGCCTTCCCCTCCCTCCTCGTATGTTCTCCCAGCCTCAGGGGTTTTGGGGAATCCAGACAAATGACTTGAGATGGCAGCAGAGCGTAAAAGCGAGCGTCGGACTAACAGATCCCACTAATCACCAGCAACATGGAGAGGCCAGAGGCGGAAAAGTTTCTCCTTCAGGGCACACGCACCATCGCTCTCGCCGCTGACAGCTAGCGGGTTGGTGTCGGCGGGGTCGCGGAAGCTACAGAGGCTCGTCGTCCTGAGCGGCGATTTCATCAAAGAGAAACAAGCCACCTGGAAGTAAAGAGGACCGAGCAGGGCCACGGCTGTTCTGAAGAAACTTAAGCCGGAAGGAGCTGAAGTTGGCTTTTTGGAAAATTGTGGCACAACGTTTTCTGAACTACTTTGGCCTAAAATGTGTAGAGCGAGCAAGTAGTCAGCAAATGTAAGAAAGCGGGGAAACGAGGTCATCTGGAGTGTTTCAGGGGTCATAGTTTTCTTTGGATCGTTATCATGCTGAAATATTCCTCTGCTGCCGACCAGGAGTCCTCTTGCCAGTCAGCATTTGAAGATATCCACAGACGTTAATGGTGCCATCTATAAATATCACCTCCCAACACCTTCAGCACTCATGCTGTCCCACCTCTGGGCTCCACTGTCAGGACTGTACATTCACCAAGTTCACACCAAACATGCTGGAACCCATCTGAGCCGAACAAGTTCATCTAAAATGCTGCAAAACAATCACAACTACTTACAATTTGATTACTGAAGTGAAACATTTGCTGGCTATGGCTGCTCAGACGTGAAGATTTGCTCATTTTATTGGTTTTAAATCACAAAATACTTTAATATTTAAAGGAAACTGAGACGATATCACCTTTGATTCTGGTAAAAATGGCTGCCATTCACTAGTGGGTGACATGTTGGTTGACTTAACAGCTTATACACAGACATGCTGGCTGTTCATGACAGCTCGCTGGTACAACACTGGTGTTAAAAAACACTTTTTAAAGCTTGTTTGTAAACTTGAATAAAAAGCAACAGATGCTAAAACCGCCTGTACTTGCACTTGTTTCTTACTAACGCTGCTAGTTTAGTTTATTTATTGATATTTTTGGGTCTTTCTGAGCTTTAGCGGTTATGTTTAACTGCTGCAAGAAAGTGTCCACCTTTAAGCAACATAAAGGTTCGGTTTACTTTGTCCAAATGGGATGAAGCTCGATTAGCAACCAGGAAAACGGAGCAACTGGAGCCCCTAGACCACTCAGAGCTCTGTCTTTTTTGACTAATTCCATAACCAAAACCTTTACATTAATGCGGACGCTGTAGGATTACTATATTTTGAGGCCCAGTGCATACATGTTAACTATTCTTTTAAAGCTTTGTTTAAGCAGATTAACACAACGCGGGCCTCAGTGGCACATTTTTGCCTCATCATAGATATCCAGGCCACAACAAACCACCTAAATTTGGTCAAAACTGAGGATCCAAAGCAAATTGTTTGGTAATATCCCCAAAAAAGGTAAAAATTAACCCAATGTGAGGCCTTCAAATTTCATGTTTTAGCCAACAGGTGAAAAGATGCAAATCCTTACATCTGGAAACAGAACATGTTTGGTATTTTGCTTTGTATATTAATATTTTGTTGATCTTGATGGTCTTGTGGTAAAGACACAAACCATATACTCAGACTTCTAGACACTTGCAGGCTACAATGGATGTCAAATGGCAAAAAAATTCAACACAAACATCAACTATTCTGTCAGCTGATTTCACTTTTTTCCAATCTCCAATTGAAGTTTCTACCTGCAGCTCCCTCTCCCATCGACTAACGGAGGTCAAGCAGGTGAACTAGCCACCGAGGTTAATGACAGTGCTTTAAAAAGATGTTAATGGGAGAGGCAGGGCCACTAAACACACAGGACTCACCCGCAGGACAGAATACAAGAGCGACCGCAGCAGCAGCTCAAATCGAACTTGACAGGTGGTGGAAAAGACAGGCCAACACTTTTCTAAAGTTTTTTTTTCTCCCCTCAAAATAACAAGAATGCATGAAAGAATCTGTGTTAACTGTCGGGCAGCAGCCCTTCAGATGTAGAGGAGGGAAAAAGTGACACGGAGGAAGTGATGTTAGAAAGTCAACACGAGTCAGAAGTCAGGGAGGTTGAAGGAAACGTCATAAATCAAACAGAACACGACGCCGTAAATCTAAAACCCAAACTACCCATCAGGTGAAGCCGGGATAGACTCCCATCGCTTCTCTCTGGAAAACAAGCGTCCTTCCAGACTTCTCTTGGCTTATTGAAGGAATGTATCTGCATTCTTTTACTACAGATTCCATCTTTGTTCTCGGGTCCAAATCTCCATCTTGTCCTGGCAGATTTTAACTTTGGCTGCCGCTGCCTATTTCTCATTATGAGAACTGCTTGTACAAAACTGGCAGGTTTTTTTCTTTTTGCTTCGAGAACAGCTGAAACAAATTCAGCTCCTCAACAAAGCAACGCTGCTTCTGCAAAGTTTTATGCAGATTTCAGCAGATCGGACTGCTGCTTTGCCGCTCTCGTGTTCTTGTGGAGAGAACCGGCAGCAGTGACACAAGCTTGAACCCTAATCTGCAGAGAAGATCTTCACATTCATGAGTTAAGTGCCTCAGATTCACCTCAGATAACGTTCCTGCAACCGCAAAGCAACCTCAGCAAGGCGAAGCTCATTTGTAAACACAATTCCTGGAAGATGAAACCACGTTTTCATGCGGTTTAATCACAAATCTGGCACCAGCACGCTGCATTTTGCACATTATCCTCCACATTTGAGGTATTACAACATGAAATCTGCTGCCGGTTGGGTCCAGCGTCAACTCACCTGGATGAGACACTTGCTGACGTCGCTGGCGCAGAGGGCTTTGTTGCAGCCGGAGGTCAGAGACAGCCCTGATAGGAGGAAGAGGAGAGCGGCGGCGGCGGGAAGGAGGATCAGCTGACCAGGCCTCATCCTGACGGCTCACCAGCACGGCACTGGAAACACCTACATCAACACGGGGAGGCAGCAGGTCAGACGTGGAGGGCAAAGACAAATAAACAGGAATTCCACCAAGAGGAAAGTGGAGAAAAGTTGGTGCATGATAGAGATGCTGTAGTGAGGATCTGCTCCATCTAACAGTGACCAGCTTTGGAGGTTTTTACACTTCAAACTCCATGTGTTTTTGTGCTTTAAGTGGCAAAATGCACCCAAAAAGTGGATGCAAATGTTGCTTTGTCATGCATGTAAACATCCCATTTCCAAAAGGCCTGCGTCACACTTCATTCAAAGCCAGCTCTGCTCACTTTACTGTGGAATAACAATGCAGACACACACACATCTGGCAACATCAGCTCCCTTCACCTTCTTTTTTTTCCCCACCTCATGTGCTGCGCTTTAACACACTTTCCAAACTCCGCTTTTACACTTCAACACTTGCTGCACATTGTTCCACTTCACATGACGGAGACAGAACATGTGAGGAACATTAGCTCCCTCAGTCCCGTTTCTTCACCTCTCTTCCTTTTTTTTTTTCCTCCTTTCTCCTTTTTTTTTTGCGCTAAACTTACTCGCACGCAGCCACAAGAGAATCGAGCGCAAAGGGGAGAAAAAAAAAACAGCGATGAAATCAACATGTTAGAAGGTTTTAAACTCACCACGACGCAGTTAAGGAGCTCGCAGGTTTTCTTTTGGAGCAGGACGGAGGCTGTTTTCTCTCTTTGAACTTCTCCAGGATGGTGTTCTGCCGCCGCTCAACTGTCCACTGTGTCCAGAGGGCGTCAGTCTCTCCGCAGCACAAAGCGACAGGCAGTCGGGCGCCTTAAAGGCACACACTCCATTTTCTGAGTGTGCAGGGAAACACCGGGCCTCAGGTCGCGCACACACACCGACTGAGGTCTTCAGAATAACGTACGAGAACGATCCTTCCACCGCTTCGTTAAAAAAAAAAAACACACCGAGAAGCGACTTTGCAGCTCCGTGCGTAAAAGTGTTGCGCTCCGGTCTTTGGCGCTGCCCAGGTGGGCTCCGTTTAGCCGCTTTTACGCAAACAGCTCTTTTCTTCCCAACCGGCCCCCAGGCCCTATTAAAAGGCCCTTTGTCTCGGCTCTTATCAGCGGCCTCATTAGGTGAGAAAAGGGGGCGACTCGGAAGCCGCGGAGCTGATCAGACGCCCCGCTGAGGCGCGACCCTGCGCTCATTTGTAGCCGCCTCAGAAACGCTCTGATGGGCCATTTAGCTCCACAGGTGTTTACATGTTGATCAAAGAGCCAGCAGGCAGCGGGCTGCAGGGGAGGAAGAGGAGGACACACCTTCAGAGGAGGCACGGTTGGGCTTCAGGCAGGGTCAGGAGGAAGGACGAGGAGGTGAGGGTCGAGGAAAGATGAGTTCAAATTATTCTTTAAAAAAAACAAAAAATATTCATTGTTTCCCTGTTTGGTTAAATTTCAGATCGTATCTAGTCAGATCACAGAAAACAGCAGTAATTTACATGTTGACTAAAAAAAAAAAATGTAGATAATAATAATAAAAATCTGTATTCCCACATTTTCCCTGTTTTGTTAAATTCCAAATAATAACGAGTAAAATCACAGGAAAAGGCTCTAAGTCACATGCTGGCTGGCCTTTTATGAAGGAATTTGTACAAAGTGTAAAAAAAATTCTAAAATCTTAATTTGTTCTTTGACAATATTTGACCACAACATGTCATATTTTTCCTGATATTTGAAAGAAATTTTATGAATGTTAAGGTATGAAAAATGGTCAATTCTCACTGTTTTGTCAAATTGACGACATTTAGAAAAAAATCACAGAAAAAGTATTAATTTACATGTTAACTGTAATTAAAAAAATATATGTGTCAAGGGTTGAATCATAGTAAATGTTTTTGTAGCAGTTATTTTTCAGATTTACCCTGTTTTTTTTTGTTTTTTTTTTTAAATTACAGATAGAATCTAGTGAAATCACAGGTAAATAAACAAATTAATCTACATGTTACATTACAATATACACTATAAAAACAAAACCATAACAATACTGTTCAGTAAAATCATGTGAAGGCAGCACAGTCCAATGAGTCCCGCAATTTGTTGTTTCCTTCCACTGTTTCTAAAAGTTTAGACAGATAGATAGATAGATAGATAGATAGATAGATAGATAGATAGATAGAACTTTATTGATCCCTTTGCTAAAAACCTCAGGGAAATTGTTGTACTAGCAACACCAACACAACATTAGTAATAACAATCATAACAACAATAATAACAGCAACAACAGTTTGCTGAGCAGCCACCTTTTCAACAACTTTTTAAATATCTTGGAAATAACTTGGATAAAGGACGGTGGTTACTGGGGAGTGTTGGATCTGGATACAGATATAATCCAGGACCAGACAAGACAAAAAAAACACTCATGAACAATTGTTAAGTAGGCAGAGGGGGCAATGACTCCAAAAACCTCTTTAGGAAACTTAGATGACAGAATATCCAATTTACAGGTAGTGAGACACGATCTCAATCAGATCCCAGAGGGAACAGGGGGTGAACTCGTCCAACGTTGTGATGGAGAGCTGAAGCTGAGGTGAAGGTGGAGGTGATCACAGGAGTAGCTGCTGATCTGATGTTTCCTGTCTTTTCAGCAAAATACTTAAAAACGTTTCATAGTCATTTACAGACGAGGCACAAACAGTAGCTGGGACAAGGTTTAGTTGACTGTTGATGGTGTTAAACAGAAATCAGTTATGTTTTTTTTGAGGCAACTCGGCTGTAGAAGTCAAAGAGTCTCTCAGTGATTAAATGATGACATTAAACCCCTCATATGGATTCGATGAATTTGAAGGTTAGATTTTTTTTTCCATTGTCGTTCAGCTTTTCTGCATTCTCTTTTTAGCTTCCTAATATTTTCATTCATGCAGGGCCGACACGGCGTAGCCTTCAGAGGAACTATTTGATCCTCCAGCAAACGCCATTAAACTGTTCAACCATATCGTTGACACTGTTGCATTCATCAGTGCTGAAGATGGCCGCAAAGTCAGCAGCTGAATTGTTATTTAAAATGCATACATTGTTTAGAACGCGGAGCAACAGAAATGCAGTTTAGATCAAATAAAACCATTTTGGGATCTCAGATAAAATCCCTGAGGCAGACGGAGTTCATGTCATAACCCAGGGTAAAAACGAAGTGTAGGAGATGAAACGTGCTGTTTTAGATGAAAGGATTCACATGTAGTTAAAAAATCAGATGTGAAATGAGTATCAAGAGGTCAGCATGAATGTTAAAGTCACCAACCAATGAAATGTAGTCATGACTAAGAACAAAAGGAGAAACAGAATCAGAGAATCCTGATGAACTATTGTGGGGTTTCCAGGGGTGATAGATAGAAGTGAAACAAACAGGGTTATCAAAACTGATTTTGAAAGTCAGGACTTCAAAGCTGGGAGGTTCTTCTACTGTGATGAGGGTACAGATTAAATCCACTTTTATAAAAGAGCCTCGGGGCGTTGGACAATCGGGGGGACATAATTCAAAAAATGCACTTATATCACCAGATCTAAGTCCGGTTTCAGTTAAGAAGAGAAAGTCCAATTTACTGCTTGAGATAAAGTCATTTAGGAGAAAGGTTTTATTAGCCAGTGACCTTGTGTTTAAGAGGGCACAGCTAGCAGGGCGAGTGTTATTGTTGGTTTTTTTAGAGATTTGTCCGTTGGTGACCAGTTAAGGCGATGGTGTCTACTGGTAGCATGGACAGCAGTGTGATCGTTCCACCAGAGGGCGCTGGTGGAGGTAATCCTAACAGGTGTGCTGGGAGGCGGGGAACAGGTGTGTCGGTGTTCTGGATACTGTCAGAAACTGTTGGTGATACCAGCGTTTCTGAGACAGATGTTTCGAGGCTTTTCAGGACTCCTTACCGACTGACCATGAAATAAACAGTGGGACAACTTTGTCTATAAATGAGACTTCTGTTCTACTATTCATTCTCTTATTTCCAGATATTTTTAAAACTCGTACGTTGTTGGGCTGTTTGAAAGAAAAACTACTTGAGCGCATTTCGAACCACTTGAGCCGTGGTCGCTCACTGATTACTGTTCAAACATGTTGGTACGAAAACAGTGAGACAGGAGACCAACACAGTGTACAGGTTATGCTGACATGAAAGTTACGAAACCGTGTGATAATAGAACGCCAAGTATTGAAATACAACATCAACATGTTGATATAGTATTGGCAGATTTAGATCACATCATCATGCACTGGCTTATTCAAATCCAACATCAACATTTTAACAGAACAGACAGAATCCAGCAGTTCAGCAACATTTACGCGACATTTGTGATCAAATCAGGAAGTGAAGTTTGTCTTGTTGTGCTACTCAATACTGTGACATGCTACTGAGGAAAGACGACAATTTCCATCCATCCATCCATTATCTATACAACACTTAATCATCACTAGGGTCACGGGGGGCTGGACCTGTCCAGGGTGGGATAGGCTCCAACCCCCCGTGACCCTAGTGAGGATTAGGTGGGGTATAGATGGATGGATGGTTGAATGTGGTCAGATGGTTTATATAATCTTGTTGTTTTACTTAAAATGTGTCTAACGGGAAACCAACTCAGATCTACCTGTTTAATTGCAGGAAACTTTGAAAACAGCAGCAGTACTGTTTCCGTCTCAGCATCACCACATACTGATGTGTCACTAGTTAACCTGAGTAGACTGAACAGCCTTGACTCCGAACAGTAACGATATGTGGAACCAGGTTAAAGCTGACAGCAGGAACCATTTGCAAGTTTTTTGACGTTTGTGGTTTGTGGAACAGTCGCATATGATCTACATGTAACAGCTGCCTCTTACTGAATATAACAAATAACCTGAATCACTTCAACAGCAGCAGCCACAGTTGGGTTTTATTTGTATCACCGCTGTTGATCTTTGAGGAGTTTTACAGCCTTGTTATCAGTGCAGTGCTGCCTACAGCGACACCTACTGGCTGACAATAACGCTGCTTCCTCACCATGGAGGTGAGCCGCTGAGGTGGATAAACAGTCGAAATCAGTCACACAAAGCAAAAGTTAATTTCACAACAAATAAAATTTATTCAATTATATATTACAAATATGTACAAGTCATGTAACAAGTAAATATTAAAATAGACATTTTTTTAGAACTATCGTTCAAAAGGCATTATGTTGAAAAAATAGGATTTGTTGTGATCTCACATTGAAACTGTAAAAGTATGTTTTTTTTCTTTTCTTCGGAAGCCACAACAGACTTTAATGTGCGCAAGACACAATGGACAACACATGAGGAGTGAGGCCGCAAAAAGGACATAACACAATGGCGCAAAAGAGAAGAGAAAAAAAAAAAGGAAGGAAGGAAAAAACAAAAAAGCTGGAACACTTCAGTAAACCTCACGATTAAGTCCACAGTACAGCTTTTTAGGAAAAAAGTACAAACAACGCAACGCATGCACAGCATTTAATTGCCAAAGTCAAAAAACACCAGCTGTGGCGTGGAACTCCAGATGAGGAAGGAAGAAACAGTAAAAACAAAAAACACAACGAAAGCCAACACATGCTTAAGATTTTAAGCCAACAACAACAAGAACATCACGGACGAAGAGGACACTCGATATAAAAAACAACTTTGGTCCATTAAAACATCAGACAGAACGAGTTTACAATCAAAATATCAATTATTTTTTGTTTTTACAGGTTTAAAACAATAATTACATGGGCTATGTACAAATGCACAATTGTTTTTATGTATAAAATAAGTTAAAAAATT